AGGTTCGATCCCGGCTCCCGCCAGAGAATGCTGCTGTTGTGTCCTTGGGCAAGACACTTAAACTGCCTCACCTGCTGGTGGTGGTCGGAGGGACCGGTGGCGCCTGCGTTCAGCAGCCTTGTTTCCGTCAGTGCGCCCCAGAGCAGCTGTGGCTACATCATAGCTCATCATCAGCATGTGAACGTGTGTGTGAATGGGTGGATTGTGCTGTGAAGTGCCTTGGGGGGTGGAGGGTGTTGTAGAACCCTAAGAAGGCGCTCTACAAATACAGGCCATTTACCACTTATGGCAGCTTTAAAGGGGACATATGAAGTAAAATTCAGCTTCTGCAGCCGTTTGTGTTTACATGTTAGTCTCCGCTGCCTTGTAAACACTCCGAATGTGAATAAAGCCCCTTTGTTTTTCTGTCAGTGTTTGGTTTTAGAAATTATTTATGTAGAAAATGCTGTTTGAAAAAGTTCTCATTTTTTCTCTTTCACCTCTGTCTCCGTGTCTGGTCGGAATTACAAAGCATTCAAAAACAATAACAATAAAGTTTTAAGTATCAGGCGTGACATTAAAAGCAGACGCTCTGATGCTCCACCTGAGAGTGTCTGTAAGGCTTGTTACCAGCATTCAGACATCAATTCTGTTTACTTCACAGCCAGACAGGACACGGGGGTGGGGGTGGGGGGGATGTGAACAAATAAAAGAAAAAGTTCTCATTTGTGATGTCACAAATGGAGACAGTAGAATAGAACCACCTTCATGTGCAGGACCTCCTACCAAATATCAGAGCTTCTCAGCTTATAGCAGCCTGAGTGGGGGAAGAGCAGACGTGGCAAAATCCAGATTGTTTTCTTAAAGCGAAAGTGGAATATACTAAAATTGCTTCAACTGCTTTATGGGAGTGCAAAAAAAAAAAACCCCTCCATAAACATGTTTAGTGTCGACCACAGAAGAACCATTATAACTCAAGAACAAAAGTCATGTCCTCTTTAAAGTAACATCTGAAACTGATCTAATAAAAAATCCATTTTGATGAAGAATAGACAAGAGAAAACACACTTATAAAAACAGTTCTCATTAACCAGTGAATAAGAATTAAATAATCATTCACAGAGTTTTTGCTCTAGGCTGTAAAAGTCTGATCAGACCAGATAAGATCCTTGGGGTCTCATTCATCAAACATTGCGTAGAATCCTTATTAAAAATGTACTTAAACTCAGCAAAAAAAAAGTACTTATGCCAAGTAAGTTTGTGATCTATCAAACATGGAGTACGCACAGCTGCACGCAATCTCCGCTTCATGAATCAGAGACTAACGAGAAAGGCTCTCAGCTGCTTTTTAGTCACATCCCGCCCTCAACACGCCCACTTACTGCCATAAATATTCAAAGCGAAATGCCTTGTGGATCTCATGCATATACATAAGCCGGCTTGTTCGAGCATTTCGATCACGACCGCAGATCAAGGAAGCGCTATTTCACAAGCAGAAGTTGAGGTACCTGTGGGTGAGGTGGAGAAATGAAAGGAAGTGCTTTTGCAAAACAAATAAGAGAAAATCCACGGAGTGGCACAACGTTGCTGAAGCCGTCAATGCTGAGTTCTTCAGAGAGATCTGTGGCGGATATAAAAAAAAGGTCCAATCGGGATTCGATCCCCAGACTCCCAGGTGAAAATTGTGCGCGCTAACCAGTCACACAAACGGAGATCTCCCTTGTCTAAGTAGCCAGGGCGCATGATCAGTTGAGTCACAGTGACAGGACACACACTGTCACAGACGCATGACATTCTGTCCCAATCTGTCCCCCTGCTGATATTCTGCATTCCGTATTCTGCGCTTCAGGCTGTGTGTGTGTGTGTGTGTGTGTGTGGGGGGGGGGTCTTGTTCTGTGTGAAAACGAAGCAGTACAAGTGATAATGCTGCAGGATTTCATAATTCTATCCTTCTCAGCAGCAGCACTGCAGGTGCTCTCCATGTCCAAAATGTTCGTAAGCCAGGTCCTTAGTCAACTTAAAGTTGTGCACAGTTTTCCGCTACGTTTTCTTTCATAAATCCCAACGTTTGCGTGGAAAGTTACTTACGCAGTTTTCCGACCCCATTTTGTGCGTAAGCAAGCTTGATAAATGAGGCCCCTGGTCTGTCAGATTCAGCCCTGACATTTGCATCTAATCACCAAACCACATTTTACTCATCTCAGAGGATTTTCTGTCACTTTAAAATCTGGTATTCACAAAAACAGTAGCAAACATTCTTTTAGACATGCACACACACACCTGGCTAATTTCCCCTCTCTGTACGTGCGTCCCCATGGATGTCTGTGCTTCTGCAGAGGCCAGACGTCAGGCAGCCAAAGCGTCAACGACCCCTCCATCATCTCTCCCTCTGCACACGCCGGCTCCGTCTCCCGGCAGTAGTAACACTTCCCATAGAAACACGTGTTGTTACCTAAACAGAGGAGCAATAGGGATGTACAGAAATCTCTGTGATGTTTTGGGCTTTAGCAGAAAAAAAAGCCTGCTGACATGATGTGGGAAATTCTAACTAAGCAGGAATAATTCAGCAGGTCAGTAAGTAAAGGGCAGATGTTCATGTTTAGAGATCCACAGTGATTAAATCAAATATCGGTGCATGACTACATTTACTTTTGGGTCATTTGCTCTTAGGAGAACAAACTCTAAAAAACAAAAAAAACCAAATCTGTCAATGACACAACTGTGTAACCTAACAGTGTTTATCACCATGAAGGTTGGTTTGCCTTTGGCCAAAAATGCAAACTGCAGAACACGGAGCTGTGAGAGGAATGAGTCATGATGGGTTTGTTAGAAACAAAATGTCACACCTAGAAATATACCAAACCAAACATCAGCTGATGATTCAAATAGCCAAGGTCACCATAATAGAAATGTGGAGGTTAGTCCTTCCAAAGTTGATAAGAAAACACAAAAAAAGGTTTCAGTTCCACAGTTTTCAGAGATAAGTTGATATAGGTGGGTCAGAGTTATAGAAGAATTAAAACTGGTATCCGACTTCAAAACCACAATCAGTGCATGTCTAAGTTTTTGTTGTCTTTTTACATGCCTGCCTCTGCATCCCAGTTATATTTCTAACTTGTTTTAATATCCACAAGATAGCTGGAGCACTGTGGTCCGTTTTACATTTCATTATTAGAGCAAGAGCTAACGTTTCAACACTACATGTGTTTTCATAAGAACTCTGAGCAGGACATATCTAGTAGCGTTAGTCTAATAATGAAATGTTAAACTGACCCAAATGCTCCAACCCCGCTATCCTGTTGGTCTTATGTCCTTCTGTGCAGCACCTGAATCAGTGCTGTTGGATTACGCGTGGAGGGCTCCGATTGCTTAAAAGGAACTCTGGCTAAGAGGACGTGTATGCCCTAATAAGCCACAATTCTTCTGTTGTACCAAACTTTGTTGTTAGAAACACACAAAATATTGCTGTTTATTTATAAATCTATAATATTTAGTACATTTTTGACATATGTAGGACGCCATGTTTTCCGCACGAAATGCACTCTGGCGGCGGTATTGACGTGTATTGGTTGTACTTGGAAGAATAGCCATTGACGCTAGTGTTTGTTTACGCGCTCACCTTCTATGTTTAATAGCCAAAGTAAGAGCATATCCACACGCTCAATGAGAAGCAAACTCAATGAATTGGGACTGAACCACTGTGTAGAATGCACCAGCATGAAATTTTAGGCCAATACTGATATCTGGTATTAATATCTTGTTATGGCCACACTGACATTTATGCTTCTGAAGTCAGAAGATTTTGAAGCGATGCACCCATCATACCAAGTGCCTATTGTACAAGCCTGTGGGGGCAGTGCTATGATCTGGGGTTGCTGCAGTTTGTCAGGTCTAGGTTCATCAACAGGATGTGCTCTATGAATGAGGTCAGCTGACTACCTGAATATACTGAATGACCAGGGGGTCTCATTTGTCAAACATGGCGTAGAATCCTTACTAAAACCGTACTTGAGCTCAGCAAAAAAAATTACTTACGCCAAGCATGTTTGTGATCTATCAAACATGGAGTACGCACAGCAGCACGCAATCTCCACTTCATAAATCGGAGACTAACGAGAATGTTTCTCAGCTGCATTTAAGTCACATCCCGCCCTCACCACGCCCACTTACTGCCATAAATAGTCAATGCAAAGGGCCTTGTGGATCTCATGCATATACATAAGCCGGCTGTTGCAGCGCTCCGCCAATGACATGGCGACCGTAGATCAAGGCAGATCAAGGAAGCGCAATTTCACAGAAGCAGAAATTGAGGTACCTGTGGGTGAGGTGGAGAAATGAAAGGAAGTGCTTTTGCAAAAGAAATAAGAGAAAATCCACGGAGTGGCACAGCGTTGCTGAAGCCGTCAATGCTGTGAATTCTTCAGAGAGATCTGTGGCGGATATTAAAAAAACAAAGGTCCAATCGGGAATTGATCCCCAGACTCCCAGGTGAAAGTCACGCGCGCTAACCAGGCAGCCAAACGGAGATCTCCCCTGTTCAACTAGCCAGGGCACATGATCAATTGGGTCACTGTCACAGACGCATGACATTCTGTCTCAATCTGTCCCCCTGCTGATATTCTGCATTCTGTATTCTGTGCTTCAGGCTGTGTGTGTGTGTGTGTGTGTGTGTGGGGGGGGGGGGTCTTGTTCTGTGTGAAAACGAAGCAGTACAAGTGATAATGCTGCAGGATTTCATAACTTTATCCTTCTCAGCAGCAGCACTGCAGGTGCTCTCCATGTCCAAAATGTGTGTAAGCCAGGTCCTTAGTCAACTTAAAGTTGTGCACAGTTTTCCGCTACGTTTTCTTTCATAAATCCCAACGTTTGCGTGGAAAGTTGCTTACACAGTTTTCCGACCCCGTTTTGTGCGTAAGCAAGCTTGATAAATGAGGCCCCTGATTATTCCATCTTCCCTGATGGCACTGGCATATTCCAAGATGACAATGTCAGGACCCATTCAAAGAGTGGTTCAGGGAGCATGAGACATCATTTTCACACATGGATCGGCCACCACAGAGTCCAGACTAGGGCTGCACGATATTAGGAAAACCTGCAATATTCGATATTACTCACGATAAATGAACAAATACTAAAGTGTGCAGTGTTGATGTCGTCTGGCGTGTGACGTCTGCTCTGGGTTCAAAGCAAACAAAAACTAATGCATGAATTCCATTACAACATAACATTTTTATTGCAAAAACATGCAGCTGCACCTGCTACTGTATTAGCAGCTGCACCTGCTACTGTATTAGCAGCAAAACAACAAACTGCATGCATGCAGCTTCTCAGTGACTTTAAAACATCACCACCACTATAAAACTTTTTCTGATGCTCCAAATACAGAAAAACATCCCTTACCAGGGTTTTTGAATAGATAAAAACAATCAGAAAATAAGTTTAAATGTTAAATAATGGTTAACATCACTTACATGCAACAGCAAATTCTCTCATTGCTACTGAACATTTTCTCCACTTATGTGGTTATGATATAAGGCTGTTGCTGTAACTGGGAAGTGAACTGTGCTGGGCCAAACTAGGAGAATATTAAGATTTTCTGAGGGAAAGGGAAAAACAATTGTCTACCTTTCAGAAGAGGAACTGGCAAAAAAACTACATGGAAAATATGTGAAAATGTTTGTTTTTAACCCCAAATTGAACAAGTTTACCTAGATCTTAAAAAGCAGCTCAGATGATGAAACTGCAACTATGATTCTGATGACAAGCTAACAAATTGAACTAGCTCCTCTTAAGATAACTGGCTAGCAGAGCTTCTGACTGACAGTTTATGTGCAGCAGCAAATCAACTATCCTGATTAACAAGGTTATAAAAGCTCATAAATGAAAAATCACTTTGATGTGTGGGGGAACTTTTCCAGGCCCTCTTTAGCAGGGTGGGACTGGGAGGAGAGTGCTGTAGCCTTTTAGCTGGAAGCTAACCGGAGCCTGGGGCTAACGTCACCACCCGGTGGAACACTAGCGACATGAAGGTGGGTTGGTTCACCGGCACGTGTCGGAGTCAGCCCGGTAAAAATGATTAACGACACCGAGCGGACTCACGTTCACGTTTGAAAGCAGCGCTGATTCCAGAAACCTCAGCACAAAGTGCGTTCGTTGCTCTGAGCCAGCATGACGAACAAGGGAACGGCGCCGCTAACTCTGTTCGGGTGTTGCTTTCCAAAAGGGTCTACGTAGGGGGCGGGCGTATTACGTGAAGGGACACATCTGATTGGCCGCATATCAGAAGGACTACATTTGATTGGTCAAATAATACTTCTGCGTAAAAAACAGAGTTGGTTTACAAAAAGTTGATGTATGACACGGATGGAAATGTTTGAACCAAACATTTATCGCTGTTTTTGCCGTGTTTTGCGATGGACCTATCGCACGTCCCGTTATCCCGATGACGATAATTTTCGATGTATTGTGCAGCCCTAGTCCAGACCTTAATCCCATTGAGAATCTTAGGATGTTCTGGAGAAGGCTTTGTGCAGCAGTCAGACTCTACCATGATCAATGCAGATCTTGTTGAAACATTAATGCATCACTGGATGGAAATAGATCTTGTGACGTTGCAGTAACTCATCGAAACAATGCTACAGTGAATGCATGTGTAATCAAAGCTAAAGGCGGTCCAACAAATTATTGGAGTGTATGACCGTTTTTCTTTTGGGTGGCAACTATGTTTTTGGCCGGGCAGAGCATCGTCGTAATCGCAAGAATCTTAGCGTCCAGATGATGTGTAATGTCTACACACACAAAGAACAAATGTTTGCAATGTCCCATCTGCGAGACTAATTCACCACTATAGAAAATATCGCTCATAAAAAATGATCCTGAAGAGCCTGGCCTATCGCCTTATGTAGAACTCGTCTAATCGCCCAACCTGAATACACGACCTAAAACGGCTTTAATGTACTTTGCAGAATACAACTGAAACTTTAAATTTGCTACTTTTAAATCCAGACATATTTTAGTGTTTTCAGTAAGTTCTTCTTCACATATATGAGTCAGATTATTTTCTCACACTTCAGTTAGCTCAACATATTAACATGTTTCAGTGGCAGATCAGGCCCGGCTGGTTTCACTGATCCTGACTCATATTTATCAGGGCGTGTCAGACCTGTACACATCGATCCTCACAGGCTTGAAATACTTCAGCCATGATGACGAGCGTCAAGACAGAAATGTGGAATTGTGTTGTTGATGTACAGGGTGCTACGCCCAGACCGGTCCAACATGTAGTTTTTGGTTATTATCCTATTTGCTAATAAATATTTAGGAATTATTCTTATGTTGCGAGCACATGCATGGGTTTAGAGGTAGGGAGAGTGGCACAACGGATGATAAGTACAAGTAGGGTTGACTTATTGGTACCACGGATAGTCAGAGCCCAGCTAGCAGGGCGTTAAACGTCATGTGTGGGTATGATCTGAAGAGCATCAACAACGCCACACCTTAATCAAACCTGACGGGGTGTTTCCTGGGCGACTAAAGCCTGGTTTATGCTTCTCCGTCAGCTCTGCAAGGGACAGACACTCACGGATTGACGGAAGCGTTTTGCTCTCATACTTCTCCGTCTCCTGGAGAGTGTTGCAAAGCAATTCCCCGGCAGGACAGCAGAGGGCGTAGCGCTGTTCTGTGGTATCCTGTCATGTATCGGTCCAAGATAGTGTGTTTATATTGTGTTTTTTGTGTATATAAGAGACTTTTAACACGGAGATATTTGTCTCTCATTCTCCTCCACCGCTTCATGCGCTCCCCACCTCTAAACCCACGTTTCCTGTCATTTCCGTCCACAAATAAAACGCTTGCTGCGCGTCTTTTCACTCCTCCAGTCACGGGAGGATGAAACGTTCATAATTTTAGAGTTTTTTCGCGAGGCATTCTTCAAGCTTCTCCGTGTCTGCCGCTAGTTATCCTCGGCTCTCTTTGCAATGGCGGCGCTGTAAACAACAGCGGCGTCCTGACCAATCACAAGCTTGCGTAATCAGTCTCGTTCGACGGATGTTTAAAAAAGTGGGCTCGACTCCGTACGTACTTGCGTGCCTGCCGGAGCCCTACGCAAGGACGGATAATGGCGTTGCGTGTCTCCGCACTGACGCAGACGGAGAAGCATAAATCAGGCTTAACAAAGCGAGATGAATACCGCACTTGTCAGAGGTAAAACTGAGCTCAGGGTGAGAAATCACAGGACGGGGGTTCACCCAGTCGAGATCTGAGAGGAGAGTTGAACTCACCCTGCATGAGAAACGTGTTGAGCAGCTGATCGGTGGCCACAGGCTTGATCTCTGTTCGCAGGTTGACGTAGCGCCCCACCACCAGAGGGGCCCTCCTGAACCCCAGAATCCTGACAACAAAGGTGGGAAACGAGAACTTTTCAACACTTTACACAACAGTAGCAGACCTGAGGAGGAGGGTGTTTTGCACACCTGTCCAGGTGAAAAGCCGCCACCTCTGCATTGTGTCTGTCATAACCTGCATACGGTTCTCCTTCAACCACATAGTCCCTGCTGTATCTGAGCAAGAAAAGAACAAAAAGAATGGGAAAAAGAAAATCCTTCAGAATAAAAATGAGGGACACGTTTAAATGTCTGACCTCTTGGGTTTGAAGACTACTTTCTGTCCTCCGTCCAGCACCAACAGGGCTTTGAGCTGCGTGCCCTTGTAGCCCACGTCAGCCCGTTCTATCCTGACGGAGCTCAGGGAGGTGAGCACAGCAGCCAGCTCAGGGGTCTCTTCAGGGTACACCTCTCTGGGGCCCACCCACTGGCTCGCTATCTCCCATGGGGACTGGAGAGTGTGGGTAAGGTGAGCTCCTCGAGGGAGAGAAAGACCAGCTTCCATCTGTTAGAGCACACCATCAACACTTGGAACTTACATAATTAGAAGTATTTTAACTATAGAACACTTTCTCGAGCAGTTGTGTGTTGCTTTTATTCATCAGTATTTAAGCGCAGCTAGAACGGACGTAGTGGACCGGTGCTGACCTTACGAAAGGCTCTGAGGTCCCGCCGGCTGGCTGCAGATCCTTCACCTCCATCCAGCAGGAAGATCTTGGCCAGGCCCAGGAGAAGGAGCACGGCACACAGCACTACCAAGCGCTGTTTGAGCTTCATCTCCACACGGACCGGCCCAGACTGCCTCCTCGCCTGATGCTGTGTGTGTCCCCTGAAGCGACCACCACTCACCCTTGACGCATGGCCTCTGGAGCTCAATGTCCCCTGCTCGTCCCAAGAGGAGGAACTCTTCTAACAGAGATGGGGTTGCTGCCTTTTACCTGCAGGTGGAGAGTTTGGATAAAACTCTCTTTACCTGCAAAGTCTAAGGAGAACAGAGAAATAAAAAAACTTGAGACAACCTGGACCAGGGTAAAAAGATATAAAACATTTGTGCTATCAATAACATTGATCAGTGCCCCTCTGGGTTGTTCCACTCCTGAGGGTAGGAGACGACCCAGTTCTGCAGCTCGACTGAAGCCTGCCCAGTATATAACCTAGTTTGGGAAATAAATTTAAAAAATTAGGAAATTTACGTTATTCTTTTTATAAATGAAAGGATAATGATGTGGAACCTTTGAATATGTCTAATTACCACACAGAATCAATCCTGCTCAGTTATTCAGGCAACTTTTGGTTCACTGTGCAGGTTTTATTTTTCACCGTAAATAAATCAGACCGTTGTTGAAATTTAAAAAGTGAAATAAGAGGCCAAAAACTGAAATCACGAAGCAAGAAAAGACTTAAATGTGGTCTTTAACGTGGCTCTACAGTACCACTGTGGTGCAACTCAACAGTAAACGTCTCAAGCATTAAACTCACATTTGTTATCGGTTTCTTTGTTCTAAAGTGCGGTTTGGATACGTGGTAAGCTGTGGAGACACATTTTGGACACTGGCACCTCTTTGGGTCAGAACCTCTGTACCAACGCCAGGATGAGCCCAGATCTGATCCCGCCTGCTCTCACTGATCAAATGATGGCCACGTTGTCCTGCTGCGATGCAAACAAGAGCACCAAAAGCCGCAGTGAAATACCTGGTGTTACCCACCAAAGAGGACAGCAACACTCTACGCCGGACAAATAACGAGGTAGTTTATTTACCCGCTGCTACCTGAGGCTTATGCAACTATGGCTAAAAGGATCCAGGTGTTCCATCAGCCTGCCATAAAAAGATACCAGTTCTGTGTTTACTAAAGGGAAATCAAAACACTGGTGAAAGGACTCCGGTTTCAGCCACGCAGGCAAACACTTCTTAACAATCGATCTTTTATGATGCTGCTTCTTCAACACGACAGGAAAAGCGATCGTGTAGCTCAGACTACACGGAACCAGTTAAAAGGCGACACATACCGCTTTCTACGATCACTGGTCCCACGTTATTTGCCCCATCGGATCAATAAAAGTCCCGTGACATTCTCGCATCCTCCTGAGCACAGCTAACTGCCTAGCAGACCGCTGTACACCTTGCTGTTAGCTACAGTAACCGTTAGCGGCGGGTCTGCCGTGTCTACCCACCAGGCTCACTTACATTTTTGGCCTCACGCTCTTCGTTACACAAAAATATGACCACTGGTTTTCTGTAAAGTCCGGAAATGCGAACGCTAAGTGAAATAAATTGGCTGAGTGCTAAGTCACTGTCATTATTTCTCACAGCACTCGGTGGCTTTTTCCTCCGCCCTTTCCTCCGATTCCTTCTCCGCTCCACCTTCGTGTCCACTTCCTAAACACGTCCTCCTGCTGCAATGACAGGTGTTGACCACCAGATGGGGTGTTTCACCAGAGTTAGAGCTCTGCGAAGAGACTTCCGGTGTGCACCACCTATAAGTTATTTGGGTGTGTGTAACATTTATGTAGTGCACCCCCTGGCATATGTTTCATCTTCTTTGTTCAATTTTGTATGCAATTTGTTTGTATACTTATCACCATGTTCAATAGTTTTGAAAAAAAGAGACTTCCGGTTCGTTTCCTGAGTCAGGGTCATTCAGCTCAGTAATCAAAACTAGCATTGACCCTAGTAATGCTTCAAACTTTAATCACACTTTAAAATATATAATACAACATTTTATTGTCAGTCAAGTAATCAGAAAAAAAAGTTTATAATTAGTGAAATAGTTATTGAAACCAACCCGACTCACAAAAAGTAACTCCCACTTAAAAGGGATACTTAGCTAATTTTTCATAATTTTAAATAATTTTCTTGAGCCAGTATGTACTAAAATGACCATACAGGGTAAATGACTTACAGGGTTAATTCAATGTCATACAGATCCTCACTGTCCTCTGTGGCCAGAATTGGGCATTTGCCGGTCCAGTCTGTTGGACTTGTCAAAAATAATGTAGCCGACATACCTGGTGCTGCAGTCTGATAAGAGTTGATTTCGGTTCTACTAAACGGACACTAGGGGGTGCTAAAATCAAGCCAAAACTGCCTAGTCTCCCTTTAACCAGTAATCACACCCCTGGGTTTAAGTTTTACCTGTTGATTTTGTTTGTGATGTATGTGTAGAGATGTTTATTTTGGATTTTGGAAATGGAAAGATGTTGAGGGAGAGGGCAATGAAAAGCCTTGAGCTTCTCCCTACTCCCCTTTAAGGACCAAAGAATCTCTAAATTCTCGAGATAAGAAATGTTTATTTTGCATTTGATTTTAAATTGTTTGAATGGTCTGAAGTGAATAAATAAATAAATAAATAACACTTTATGGTAGAGCTGAATTCATAATTGCATAACCAACAAGTCTAAATATGAGATAGGTCCAAATAGTCTGGTTATGTTGAAAAAGAGGACAATTAGTTTTCCATAATTGTGTTATTTTCACAGCTCTTTTGTCGTTTAATAATTTTAAAACTGCATTTTGTGCTTGCTCCAGTTATTTTAGACTAGTAAATGTAACAAAAAGATCACAGATACTGTCGCTACATGACTGAGTCCCACTTTTTCTTAAAGGTAAGAATTTGTTTATCCATATATAAAGGGATTTAAAAGACACTTATAACAAAACAAAATCCATTAATTATATTTAGCACATTTCAGATTCGTTTAATTACATGAAACTTAAAACACTTCAAAACAAATTTGGCCTTCAATAGTTTTTTTTCTAATTTATAGGAGAGGAGAGAAAACAAATCAATAAATGTAATCAGGTGGGATGGCATGTAAGTATGTAAAACTATATGAAGCCACACCATCAAGAACTTCCAGCACAATAATCCTCAGCTTAAAACGATGTGGAGATGACTCCCAAATAACACAAAGACTAACAATATGAGCACAAACACACAAAGATGAAGTGTGGATAAATAAAAAAAAAAAGGTCAGAGTGTTTATTGGATCTTAGTCTTCACATGAGGTAGCACATCACTCAAAGATGAGGTCACAGCGCTCACCACAGTCATGATAGACACACACAAAGCCAGGTAAAGGTCAGTGACACATCACCTCTGTTACTATGACAACTCAAACAGAGGCTGCTGCTTTTTCCTTGGTAAACAGTGAATGATACCTGTCTGGTGCACAAGTGGCACAGGGTCACATAGGTTACAAAAAATAAAAACAACAAAAACACACCAACACTGGTTCTGGATGAGATACACGTGTGAACTGCTGACTGAATCAGGAAGGTGTTTACGCAGAACGATTAACACAGGAGAAGTTAGACAGATTGTGCATTAGCAGACAGTATGGTCAGTGTGAAGGAAACGCAAGCTAGGAAAGCAGAAAACTGTAAAGCGTGGAATCACGTTTCTTTATGACAATTAAGGTTTTAACACCTACATTTTCTATTTTCACCCAAAATAAAGATCAAGGAGCAGTTTTGTTCAAAGTGATTTGGCTCAAAATCCAAGACAAATATGTCCCAATTTTCTATTTTCATCATCCTTTTGGCCAAACGCTGCCCTCAAAGTGAAAAAACAAACAAACAAGTAAACCCATGTAACAGCAAGACAAGTGTCACAAAAAAGTGCTCGACGTGAACTGGAACCCTCAAGAAAATAAACGTTACACTCGAAGCACTTCTCTGCTCTGGTAAAGTAGAAAACTTCAAACTCTGGAACCCACGCTGATTACATAGAGTACGTTTCTTTCATCATTGTCGATCAGCATCAGATAAAGCAAATGCAAAGAAAAGCAAATGTGATGGCTGTCACGTTTTTTTATTTTAAATGCATCCCAGCTACTCCTGCTCACAGTCCTTTCTGCAGAGTCTCAAACTGATTCCTTCTAATCCCGACTTGGAATACAACAGCTGGTTGGGCAGGACTGAACCAGCATTTGTGGTTAAACACGGTTAAACCGTCTCTCAACCACTCGTTACGAACAGCGTCATCCCATCTAACCCTCGTTGTCCCTTTAGCTGTCCGGCAGAAACCAAACACCGATCCGCTTCCTTAGCTAGCTTCTAGCGCTCCGAGCAGTCTCTCTTCCACTCGGTGTGAGCTGAAAAGTCCTTTCTTCTCACTTCCAGTGCAACACAAGAGTTGAGTTGTAGCGTGAGATTGCCGTCACTCACACAGGAGATCGGGTAGCTGGTCGACCCCCCACTGCTCAGCAGTGACGGCAGCCTCGAGGGGATAGTCTAATCTGGCTTGGATTACATTGCATTAAAAAAATAGAGAAGTATGCACAGGCATCCAAATACATACACTCGTACTTTCAGCGACTGTCACATTACACAGGCCTGTCTTTGGCTTCCTCGGTTTTTCCACAGGTTTGTCCACTACCTCGTCTCCACACAGGCAACTGTACACCTCTTCAGATTGATCCGATTCTCTGGACTTTGTATAGTCTGGATTGTTAGGAGGTACAGAGTGTTTTTCTGAGGAGTTTAAAGCATCAGCAGAGGTTTAGGAGCTTTACTTAGTAAAAAAGGACAATCTAATGCACAATAGAGAGAAAATCTGTACTGTAAAAATGAAAATGTTCACCTGCTGCTCCCATCATGCCCCACTAACTGCTTTATAACAAAACTCAGAGTTTAAAGTAACTCAGTGACAGAACAAATTCATAATCCATTTCCCAATAATACAGCAAATGCTAAGCTGTGAAGGAATTAAGCAAAGGATTGTGTAAACACACAATGTAAACAGCCATTTTTTTTTTATAAAGCCGAGTCATTCTTTTTATTGCTAAATAAAGCCTCCCATAAGTTTTTGTACCAGCCTATTGCTCATGTTTTCACAAAAACACCTGGCAACAGTCTTTAAGTGGCACACCTAATCACACTTTGACTCTCCTCCTAATGTTTCATCGACCTGAAGAAACAAAACAGCTACGCTAAAGTAACTTGGCACTAATTCCTACCAAGGTGCTTATGCTATTTAACAACTTTGAGGCCTAAAACGTCGCAGTCATGATAAAAGGGGCAAACTCTTCACTTTTATAACAACAAAAATCTAGATCCATAGGTTAAATAACCATTCAAAATAATAAACACACAAAAACTAACATCTACATGTAACAGACAAACTGAAATTCTTGTGCAATCATCAACTACATGGTAATACTGTGAACTGTACCGTCGCTCCCGCAAGAAAAGAAAGGAAAAAAGTAAACAAAGACAAAGAGACACTGTGGCTCCAGGTAAGATGCGAGTGTCTGCTTCAACATCCAAACGGAAAACAGAGGAGATCAAATTGTGAATTATGAGTTTTTGTTGCTTTCCATTTCAGACTTTTTCACAGTTTCAAGTCTTTAGTGTTTTGTATGTGCAAGTCCAGTGAGCCCAGCCTGGCGTCCATCAGCTGATGCAGGGCAACAGAAAAAACAAACGGCAACAAAAAGGACTTGAAAGGTGTTTGTCCATCCATCTACGCAACTTAGCTTAGAATCTGGGATTACTGTACCACTGTGGAAACTCAGACCAACACCTCCAACTCGTCACACGCAGCTGTACAAACACGCGTGCACGCACACAGTAAATTCATCAAGTGACAAACAGAGGGATAGATTCTGTTTTAAAGACTTGACACATTCAGGAAAAGTGGGAATCATTTCTGCTGGAACTGACGGCGAATCAGAGCCCTTACGTTCACAAGGATACAATAAAAGCTTTGTGGGAGCACGGTTCAAGGAACTTATTCTTCCACTTCGAGCAGATGCAAATAATTAAAGAGAGTGATAAAGTGTGGACGAGCAAGTGAGCAGGCGCTCCACAACCATCCGACCTCCAACTGGTTGGTCATGCTGGGACTGAGTTTCCATCAGAGTGAGAGATGGAGATCCTACATTTGAGCGCAATGAAGGGGGGAGTGAATTAAAATAGTTTGCCCCTTCATTTAAAAAAAAAAAAAGTGAAAGAGATTGTCCCCGTCGCTACAGGGGCAGTCTGAAGGTGAGGAAAAACATCTGGGCTCCACTGAAGCGCTGAAAAGACACTCAGAGAGACAACAGCAGTGGTGCGGCTCCTTGTTTAGTGGTCAAAACATCCAAAAGCTTCTATCCACACAGACCTGCTCACACTCACTCACACACACACACACACACACACACACACACACACACACACACACACACACACACACACACACACACACACACACACACACACACTAGGAACTCTGGTTAAGGCAGTGGTGGCAGGTGAGGTTGGAGTGAGGTTGGGGTGAGAGTCGGAGAATCAGCTGTTGGGGCTCATGGCAGTGAAAGCTTCCACTACTGAGTCGGTGCTCGTCCTCATCCTCCTCATCTCTCGCCTCGCCCCTCTCTTTTTTACGGTCACTCAAATGACATCAGATTTGCTGGCACCTGAACAAATAAAGTAGATGTGGGTGAACTTAAGACACTCACTCTCTTATGCACGTGTGCGTGTGTGTGTGTTTCTACCTGTTGCCTATTCCTCTGACAAGCAGCACTCAGATGTTTAAACCAGAGCAAAGCATTCATCCTGTTTCCTGCCTGGTACTTGTAGGTGTTACCTAGGAAACAGACATTTAAATTATGGAGGTTTTCTTCTCTCCCAACAAATTTCTGCTTGACTTTTACCGACTTAGTCGAGCAGAAAAAACATTCGCAATGAAAGAATTCAGAAAGTAATTGCGTTTGTTTCCTTCAACAACTTTTCATTTACACGTGGAATGATAACCAGGACTAGCATGCAGCCTTTATGGTAAGTCTGAGCTGGAAGAAATGTTCGAATGCGGCAGCACCTGCAACATTTGACAAGCTAACATTTTAATGAAACGCGCGCACGCGTGCGTGTGTGTGTGTGTGTGTGTGTGTGTGTGTGTGTGTGTCTCACCATGCTCAGAGTCGGTCAACAAGAAGACATCGGGATGCTCTGGATCGTCAGCCATCATGGCCATGAGACCGACCACACACACACTCTTGTTGGATGCGGATTTAAACTTTAAGAAAGAACATAATGACGTTTCTAATAAAATCCATCATTATGGCAGATTACTGTGATTTTTGTTTAGCAGAAGGAAAATGTCTTCACGAGGTTCTCATCAGCCTGGAAGTGACACACGGGGCTGCGGTGATGTCACAGCTCCAATTAATCAGTAAGTGTTAACATCTGTTTGTCCCCTGGCTGCATCAGACTGAAAACAGCCCCCTTCGCACATGTAGACAACAGCTCTGCATTTCCTGTTCTTTGATTCCCGTTTCTCATCTACAGACCCATTTCTCCTCCATGTCCACCTCTGAGACGTTCAGCCAACAGAATCATGATTAAACTGATGGGGTCCTAAGCAGTGTTGGGAATGTTACTTTTAAAAAGTAATTAGTTATAGTTACTGATTACTTTGTCAAAAAAGTAACTCAGTTACTTACCAAGTTATGAGATTATAAAAAAGTAACTACCCTGAAAAATAACTACTTAGTTACTTTTTTCATTAAATAATGCAAGAAAAATGGGTTCCCCTCTTAATTAAACTTACATAATTTACTATAAATGACTACAATAGTGAAATATAAATGAGTAATGACTGGAACATAATAAAATGTATGTCCAAATGTTTTTTATAAACCTGAATAATTTAAATAAATAAGCACTTAACAGGAGGAACTACCAACAGGAACATTACACTAATCTAGACTATTAAAAGGTCACTGTGTGATATTTAACAAGACCCCAATCAGCTAAAACTTAAAATTGCAAATAGAAACACCTGTCAAGGTTCCAGAGCCTTTAAATGGTCTCTCAGTCTAGTTAAAGTACAGAAATGAATGTAATTTTGCACAGTATTCTAATTTTTCCAGCTTCACATAATTGTGTGTTTGTAGTTGCATTTCTGTTGTTGGTAATCTAGTAACGGTTACATAAATAAATAAAATCCTTTAAAATGACACTAGAAGAGGCCAGGGGCGGCGTTAGGCCCAGCTACTTGGGCTCAAGCCCTGAATGTTTTATGAGAAGACTAGTGCGTGTTACGAGTTACGTGTGCGCGCGCGTGTGTTAAGCCCCGGATCTTCTTCAGTCCTAAATCCGACCCTGGAAGAGGCACAAATCTGATGGAGGACGTACATTTACTAACTTGGGTCA